ATGGGGGAACGAGACGCTAACTAGAACTACCGTTTGTGCACTAGGCCCGGGAATACTAGACGTGTTATTCACTATTTCCCCAAACGGGTTCAGGTTCTCTCTCACGTTTTCCTTTGGCAAAATGGGTCTCTTCCATGGCGGTCTTTACTTATGTAGTAATGTACGCTATGGTCTCTTCCCAACCACCAGCACACGTTATAAAATAAATAACGCTATGGGTGAAACAGGGACAGTCCAGCTACCAGAACAAAGAACAGATAAGAAATATGGACAAATGTGACTACCATACCAGACTACTTTAATAGATCAGAACACATAAAACATGTATCGAGAAACATGATTGTATTAAAAGATCCAGGAAGTCGATAGTGGCGTGTGAATGTCCTAATGTACCCACACACGTCTGAATGACAACACCAACTGATAACGGACACTTTCCCGGGACATCTTAGGACGCTCGAGAATACCCGCGTCACGGCCACACCCTCTTACACAATACGGGTATAGACTCAACAACAATGTAACAGGATCTGGACTATAAAAATGTGTCTTATCTTAACACTAGCTGGGTACCCCGTTCGATGTGCGAACTTAATCGTTAAGTCATTGTGGGTTAAGTGCGCACAGCATGTGAACGGAAGTCTTGAAATAGTATGTCTTGAACACTGCATCAGAGACTATTAAATATATTAAATACTCTCTGACTGCATTCAACTGCATTGAAATGCTAGAACTCTGTGGGGGCGAAAGCATTTTGGAAAAATCGGGGAAAGCAGTTTGCGTGGATTTTAAAACGTTAGGTCCTAGCCACATGGATGCTGTGGACGCCTGCAAAGTTTCAAAGGTGTGGGTTAGGTAATAAGGGAGGAGTTTGTGCACAAAGCCTCAAAAGTCCACTTATATATATATATATATATAGATTATACACACATACATGCACACATGATATTATTAAGTATAAAATGGTCGCTTTTTAGGACAAGTGGGCTAACCCAGATTTCAGGGGTTTCAGAAATCTTGACCTTCACCAGAATAAAGTGGGCATTGCCCTACGTATAGGAGAAGTTTGGTATCTTTGGTGTATATTACATATTTGTCTGCTTATAGAGAAAACCATCTTAGTTAAGAAACCGAACAAGGGACCAAAAACTTTTCCTTCGATTTTCTCAAAACAGCATCTTACGCGATAGCCTCCTTGTGCTTAAAAGCGACCAAATATACACGACATACGAATCCTTACATAGTCATCCTACACTTACACATAATATCCTCCAAAACAGACAAATAAGAATACAAGAACACACCCTCCTACACACACACATATAAGCACACACCCTCCACCAGTTTACACACATGGGTGAGCACACGCCCTCCAAGAACACACCCACCTTCAGTCAGACACCGCTAAACAACTATTGTATGTAGGCCTACACCGCCACAAATTACACACACTCCAGTAGGCACACATGGATAGATCTGGGCCTCTATACTTCTTACACCAAGCGCCTATACACACAGCGTCAAATGGAATCTGGCCGAGCCTCCGAGCCTTCACTACATAGATCTACACTCTACACCCCACACACAGCTGTCACACAGCCATTATAAAATATAGACGTCTTCATAGCTCCGGGAAACCCGTCGGGACTGACTCACGGCGAGTCAATGGGGGGATTTTTACAGGGCCGGAGGAGGAAAGAAAAAGATGAACATAACACCGCGACTATATATATCCCTCAACCAACACAAGTCAATAGTCACTATAACCGTGTGGCGCATACTGTTATGTGCTTTGTATCATTGAAAAGGACTTCGAACACTTTTTTTGTGCGGAAATGTGCTGTATAAGTGAAATATATTATTATTTTCATTGTTATTATCATTATTATTATTATCACTACTACTATTGCAACTACAAAAACAACAACTACTATTACTACTACTACTACTACAACTACTACTACTACTACTACTACTACTACTACTACTACTACTACTACTACTACTACTACTACTACTACTACTACTACTACTACTACTGCTGCTACTAT